GTGGCCCTTCTCGCGGCATTGATGACACTCGACGTTGGAGTTGGTCTCAGCGGTGGAGACGCGACGCTGAAATTGAGGCCTCCGCATCGCGGCCACAATGGACTGGGAGGAATCAGTAGCGGCAAAAATTGTTTCGCCCTCGCCAGGACGAATATCGAGCTGGGCCTGGGTACGCAAGCGCGTCTCCTCGCGAACCAGGAGGCCGAGGACACCATCAAATTTCAAGTCCTCGCGATTGAGCAGTGTTGAGCGAATCGTTTCAAATTCGGGCCGTAATTTCATGAGAAATTGACATAGGCGGGAGCGTTGACGATCCTCAAGGACTTCAGTCGATGCTTCTTTGGATCGGAGGGATGCCGTGAGGAGATCTTGCTCGATCCAGAGTTCTTGAGCTTCACTCGGTTACATATGAGTATATATACTACTCTAGCCCTAGCAAACCCTAGCTTCTTTAGAATACGCTAGATTGCATGGGCATGGGCTCATTATAGCATATGATACACAAGTGGGCCAACCAGGCCAAACCGAGACCCCTAAACCCAACTGGTCTAACACTCTTATCAATCGACAATCCCCCCACTACAACAAAGAGCTTTATTAGACGGAAATTCACAAAACTAGAATTCGGTGTCAAGTCTGTATAAAATCAGTACGATATTTTGGGCCAAGTCCGCACGGATTTTACTCTTGGGTGTCCTCCCCAAAAGGTTTCGTACTAAAGAGCTTGGTGGACACTAATATACAAGGGTCTCTTCCCGCCCCGAACCGAACCAGGCTCTGTTACCACTTGTCGAAATTGGGCCGCTCAATTAGTACAATATTGCCCGCTTTGGGTCAAACCCGCACGGTTTTACTCTTAGGTTTCCTCCCCAAAAGATCCCGTACTAATTGGGAAAGATGGACACTTATATACAAGGGTTCCTTCCCTTGTAGTACCAATGTGGTACTTGGATTGTCCTCATAATATCAGTGAGTACCATAAAGTCAAAGAATTATCTATCTATTTAGTCGTTATTATTTGGCAAAATACACTTGTATAGCCATAACTTTCACGTTTGTGACAAATATAACCATAACTATCGGAAAACACAAAATAGCCAACAAATCGGATGGTCATGTGACAAATTTAGCCATTTCCGTTAGAAACTTTAACGGTGTTAAAAGCTCCGTTAGTTAGGTTAACGTTAGGCTGATTAGGATGCCAAATCATCACCCACATCAGCGACCAGTCATCATATTATTGCCACGTCATTTTGAGTTATAAAAATAATTAATTTTGAAATTAAAAAAATATTTTTTCTAACTTTCCCCCTTCCCTCTGCTGTGCATTATCTCTCAACCATCTTAAAAAAAAAAAAACTCAATCCTAAAAACCCAGATCAAGAACCCTTCGTTGATTTCCCAAATCTGCCTTTTCCGATCTTCCCAATTTGTCTCGCTTGAATACTCCCCCAACCATAACCAAAAACCCCAAATCCAAACCCAGCCTTCCGTTCCCCAAAATCCCTTCATCCTTCCGACGCAATCTTCAATTCGTGTCCCCAAATCAGATCCCGGCGACGTTTAGTCGCAACAGAAGTGGCCGTCGACGCGAGCGCCGGTAGATCCAGTCGCGGTCCAGCTCCTTGTCGCGTCCGCATCATCACCGTCGAGGATCGGTATATCCAGTCGTGCTCAGCCCAGTCAAACCTTAACTCCGGCGATCACGAAAGCTCAGCCATAATCGACCTCCAAGTCGTCGCGTCGACACAAACTCGACCTCTAGTTTCGAGAAGAACAGGAGCTCCAGCCGACGGATCTGAATCGTCCCCGCCGTACGTGCTCAGCATGCTCGATCCAGATCAGGCGTCGCTCTGATTCGAGATTCAAACTCCCTCAACATTTATTGTAGTCGATGCTTTTGGTGGGCGGGGGTTTCTTGCAACGACGCTGACGCTTCTATAACGGCGGAGGGCAGAGGGCGGGGGAGGCGCGGTTTTGGGTTTGCCGGCGGACTTGGACTCCTTATCGGATGGGACGAGGAAGTGGGGAAGGGCGAGTGGGTCTTCGTCTGGAACTGGATTTGAAAGCAGAGACCGCCATTGCTGGGTGTAGACGGAGGAGCTGAGCTCACTCGATTTGGGAATTCCGCTAGAACACCTTGTTGGATGCTGCAGAGACGGGGCGGAAATCAGGAAAGAGTCTGGGTTTGGGTACAAGGAACTTTGGATCTTTCCTCTGTGGCCGGAAAAGGAATTAGCGGAAGAGGATGTTTATGGTGGGCGGATAAGGAATTAGTGGAAGAGGAAGAAAATGGTTTATGGTTTTATGTGTTAATTTGTTCTTTTTTTATTAAATTTGTTTTCATTTATTTTATTTTATTTCCACGTCTGATTTCCACGTCAGAAGGTGGGGTAACTCAGTGGCCAACTCAGCGCAAGCCGTTAATACAGTCATAACGTCTACTAACACCGTTACCAAAATGGACGGAATTGGCTATTTGTGGTTTTCGAATAGAAATGGCTATATTTGTCAAAAGTGTGAAAGTTATGGCTATACAGATGTATTTTGCCTTATTATTTTGATATGCAAGAAAACTCAGTAATCCATCAATACCCTTTAAATCTATGTGAATGCAGATATAATATTAGTTTAGATCGACATCTCATGAAATGCTTCAAAAGGGGCTTGCTATTTGCCGCCAACCAAATTGCTATTTGCCGCCAACAAAAAAAAAAAAAAGTATATATATACATATTAGGGTAAGGAGTTTCACAATCTACAACATATCCAACTTTCAGAGAACATATTGAATCAGAAAAATTCAACGCTCGCCGGAAAAGTCGCCGGAAAATCATCGGGAAAGCCTATCCTCGACATATACTACGTACACGCATCAATGAATCATCACTAAGCAGGTGCGTAATTTTTTTGTAGTTTCGAACAATTTTTCCGACGATTTGAAACGAACAGACGGTGGGCCGAAAATTTCCGGCGGCCGGAACCTGGCCTGGCCGAAAATTTCCGGTGGCCGGAACCTAGGCGGGCCGAAAAATTCCGGCGGCCGGAACCAGACTGAGCCGCAAGATATTTTCGGCCCGGCCAGGTTCCAGCCACGGAAATTTTTGGCCGGCCAAGTTCCGGCCGCCGGAAATTTTCGGCCCGGCCAGGTTCCGGCCACCGGAAATTTTTGGCCCACAGTCTGTTTTTGCAATTTTTAGGAAAAATTCGATTTTAGGAGTTGAATTTAGAGTTTAGGAGTTGAATTTAGAGTTTAGGAGTTGAATTTAGCGTGTAAGAATTGAATTTAGAGTTTAGGAGTTGAATTTAGCGGTTAAGAATTGAAATTAGCGTTTAGGTTCACAGGAATATTGATATATTATATTGTAATTGTAGGAAAAATGTCAGAGTTGTTACCGGCCGATCATAATTACACACAGGAATTTGAGAATGGGATCCATTATGCAAGTGTGGAGTTAGCTGAGTTAGCTGCAAGAACAATCGCTCAGCAGTGTGGGTTCTTTATTGTTAGAGGAGCATGGAAACCGAATACTGCTGGACAGAATCCTGTTACTGCCCTCTGTATGTATTGCGACAGAAGTAGTAGGATCGTTAAGTCTTATAAACCAGACCCTACGAAGGAGACGCGTGGGAATATTAGTTCGAAGGGTACTGGTTGCCAGTTTCAGATATGTATAAAGGAAGTATGGCAAAAGGATGGTCCAAACACATGGGTCATGGTGGTAGTGACAAGTCGTGAAACCGGAGCTAATAGAGGGTTTCACAACCATGAAAAGGTGTTGTATCCAGAACATCACCGACACAACAAACAGTTTAGTGAGGCTGAAAAAGAGAGGTTAAGATTAATGAGGAAGGCGGGGGTGAGACCAAATCAGCAGAAGACGACACTCAATACTGAAGGGGGTGTGCATCATGATATCAAACAGATGTACAACATAAATTCCAAGACAAGATTGGATGAGATGGGTGAAATGGATGCGATACAGTTTGCGCTTCACGGAGCTGAACATCGTGGGTACCATATCTGTTTTCAAAAGGACTCTAATAATGTGCTCACTAATCTGTTTTTTGCGCACCCGACGTCCATTCAGATGTTGCATGCATGGCCGTACGTCATCCTCATTGACTCGACCTACAAGACCAACAGGTACGGCTGGCCATGGGTTGAGATTATTGGGGTTACTCCAGTGAAGAAGAATTTCAACATTGCATGTGCAATTATTAAGCAGGAAACAAAGGAAACATATGAGTGGCTGCTGCGATGTATTAAAGGGTTGCTCGGTGATACGGTTCCGAATGTCATTGTGACAGACAAAGAAGGTGGTTTGCTTGCTTCTATTCCTGTGGTCTTCCCTCTCCCACATACTGTCCACCTACTATGTTTATGGCACGTCAACAACTGTGTGAAGCAAAAGTTTGAAGTGTTACTTGGTGGAATTGCAAAAAGAGAGGTAGCACATGCGGTATGGAAGAAATATTTCGACAAAGCTGCATGGAGTTGGACTCAGGAGGGTTTTCTTCAAAAGATTAATGAGTTTGAGAGGGTATGGACAGCGAAGAACAAAAAAATGGTCGACTACGTGCGAGGTGAGTGGTTGCCTCATCAGACAATGTGGGCAATGTGCTACACGAACCATGTGTTTCATCTTGGTAACACGAGCTCGAATAGAGTTGAGTCATCTCACTCTTCATTCAAGACTTTCCTTGTGTCTGGTAGAGGAGCGATCGACACTTGTTTTACGAAGAACCACAACTACATGGAACATCAGTTTCTGGAAGTGGTGAATGAACTGCACAAGTCACTGAACCGCAATCTGAGTAGGGCAATTGAGGCTCCGTGCACGTTTTTGAGGAGGGTCGTTAGTTCTGAGGCAATCAAACTGATGTTAGATGGGGCGGCGGAGTTGAAGGACAGTTGTGCGTGTCATTTTCAAATGACACATGGGCTCAAGTGTGCTTGCCAGATTGTTCAAGCTAAGGAAGAAGGACGTCAATTCTATGCTCAAGAGTTGCATGTATTTTGGCGGACTTTGGATTATAAAAACCCCCCACATCAACAACAAGTCAGTGATGAAATTGAGATTCAACGAGAACACTTTAGGCGTCTTACTGTTGAGGTGGAAGAAAGAGGTCCTGAAGCAGTGAGACAAGCAAGAGATGCCCTATTCTATGGGCTTCATCCAGCAGAGGACAATGTGAGGGAACCGGAAGTGAATGAGAATCCGAGAGGACGGCCTCGAAGTGAGATGGCCTGAAACCCGGAAAGTACTCGTAGATCCAACACTGCAGAAGTGTGAGACAACCAGCCATCCCCCTGGCACCAGCACGAGACGCCTGACCAAGGTATCTGTACAACCAAGCAAGTGTACCTGACGCCCAACTATACTGATCTAACTCCTCCAACTCGTCCAAAAATAGGTTCACCACCGACCGAACCCTGTCTCTAGTCTTGTCCACAAACAAAGTGGACCCCAACAACAACAACAACAAGTACGACTGCGCCTCTATCACATGTGTCCCGTGGCTCTGCAAGTATCTGGACGCCATCTCTGCAAGAAAACCACCCTTCTCGTACCACTTACCCCTATTACTATATCCAGGGACCTCCGAACGACCACTCAACTGCTCCGAGTTCATCCCAAGAAGCGCACTCAAACCCGCCTCCGGATGGTCAAGCTGCGCAGAACTCCTACTCATCAGTCGTCCCTCAACAGGAATCTGCACTAAGTACTGAACATCGTGGAGGAGGATCGTCATCTCTCCAAAAGGCAAGTGGAAGGTGTTCGTGTCTGGCTGCCACCTCTCCACAAAAGCTGAGATCAAAGCATCGTCAATCGCTATCTTGCGGAACATAGAGTACATCAGGTGCTGGAGACCTGACTGCTGAACCAGATTCTCCGCCTCAACATGACTAAACACGTAGCTACTCAAATAAGCAACCGCCGATGTACGGCTGTGGCAACTGATGACCCCTCGATCTCCAGCCCCCGTCCAAAGCGCATAGGCAACGTGGCCACGAAAGCTCCTAATGAGGCTAGGATCCGTAGGTCCACCAGGACACTCACCAACAAGCTCCCACGGTGGAGGACCACTCGAACGTCCTCCCCTACTCCGTCCAGTCCCCGAGCTCTCTGTCTCCTGACGAGCAGGTGGTACGAATCGCCCAGCTCGGTCCCTATACATAGCAGGACGTGATGTTGCCGTACGAGACAGCACTCGTCCATGTCCACGCGTAGGTGGAGGGACCTCGATATCCTCATCACTATCATCCTCATCAAACTCAGCCGAGACCACTCTGGATGCAGCACCCTGGTTCCTCCCATGGGAACCAGACGCCCGTGATGCCGAACGAGCAACTACAGTAGGAGCCTCTAACTCATCCTCCCCTAAATTTGCCTGTGACTGATGTCCAATATCTCGAGAGCGCTTATTCTCCTTATTCTTCCTTCGTGCTGATGCATCAACAATCCTACCATTGAATCTATACAACTCATCCCCACCCGCATCACCCGCATCATCCATATCTAATTATCTACAAATTTACAAAATATCATACTTAGATGCGCACTAATTAATTAATTTTCTATTAACTAATGTAATATTAACATCAATTGTTAATTAATCACAAATTAATTAAATTTCTATTAACTAATGTAATATTAACATTAATTGTTAATTAATCACAAATTAATTAAATTTCTATTAACTAATGACTATTAAAATTAATTGTTAATTAATCACAAATTAATTAATTTTCTATTAACTAATGTACTGAATATTAACATTAATTGTTAAATCAATTCTTAATTAATTAAAATTACATTAACTAATCTAAGTAATTAAACATTCAAACGCCTATTACAAAAAAAACATTTATACACCAACTTAAATAAATATTAACACTAATTGCTAATTTCTACTAACTAATTAAGTATTTATTTATTTATTAATTAATTATCGTATTAAATTAAATACAAAAACTGGCCGGGCCGAAAACAGTTTGCGGCCGGTGCGTCGACAGGCCGAAAAAAATTTGCGGCCGGTGCGTCGTCGGGCCGAAAAACTTTTTCGGCCGGTGCGACGGCCGGCCGAAAATTTCTTTCGGCCCGGCAACGCCACGGCCGCAAATTTTTTTCGGCCGGCCGACGAACACGCCGCCGGAAATTTTTTGGGCGGCGAGATCGGCGACCGGCCGAAAAAAATTTGCGGCCGCGGCGTCGCCGGGCCGAAAGAATTTTTCGGCCGGCCGTCGCACCGGCCGAAATTTTTTTTCGGCTCGGCGGCGTTTAGGCCGCAGTTTTTTTTCGGCCCGCCCTGTTTTTCGCCGGAAAACTGGAAAACTTGCCGGGAAACTGGAAAACTTGCTGGAAAACTGGCCGGATAAAATAAACTTACTTGTTTTCCGACGATTGAGGGCGACGGGAGGTTAGCCGACGACGGAAGAACGGTGCCGGCGACGGAGGCACTAGGCTCGTCAACAGAAGTTTTTGTTGGAATGAGTCAAATGTTCATGGGTATCCGAATTTATAGAATGAAAGGAAGGGAAGGGAGGGAAAATTCGAAATTTGAATTCAAATTTTTATTTTTTTTATTTTTTGGTTGGCGGCAAATAGCAATTTGGTTGGCGTCAAATAGCCGTTCACCTTCAAAAATAGTATCATGGATCAAGCTTATGAATATATATATACTGGTAAACATAATGGACCTAGAACAGTTATGGCTAGTTCATTCATACCCGGAAGGAAGAAAGTGTCCCAATATGACCAAATACACCATCTGCCAAATAAGCAAAATTTCATTCATTTATGGTGTCAAGTTTTGGCTCAAACATGGCCCTGCATATTTTTCTGTGCACGATGGTTTGGCTGTGACGGTGAAGGGGGGAACAAGGCCACATGGAGCGGCAGGAGGACACTTAAAAAACTAGCTACCAATAGTTATCGTAATATAATCCGATCAAATAATTAATTAGGATAATGGTACTTATAATCTTACTACTTCAAGAACAACAGAGACCACCTCACATGTGTACTGTGGATCAACCAACAAATAAGGTACTTCAAATGTTCAATTTAATTCTTGGATCGATAGCATAAAAAGTTAATAAGTAGAATTCCGTATGAAATACCAACTGATAGACTTTATATCTATTGTTTACCTGTGTTTTTTTTGGAGTTGTTAAGTGACACTTCGTAATTCAATGCATTGATGCGAAAACTTTGATTTATAGCGAAGTTGTTATCAACAGCAATACACGAGTGAGCAACATTTGGAAGTTGATATTTGTTGTTTTTGTTAGCATGATAAGCTACACAGGTTTTGTTGATATCTTGGTGATTAAAAGATTGTTTCTCCTCCATCTGTTAAATTGTCAAATTCAATTCAAAATATAGTAAAAGTGCTCAAAGTGAATAGGGTCACTGAAAAACGTTAGTGACAAAACATCTATAAGCTTGTGGGATCGAATTGTTTCCCACCATATTTGTACTTTTTTTTTTATAGTAACACGCCATATTTGTAAGTGGCCAACTTTTGCTAACTTTAAACCAACTAATGAACATGTGTTGGTTAGCGGAACGGCTACGGTGCTAATTGTATAATAGTTAGCACCGTCCTAACCAAGGGAAAAACTACTAATTTTAATTAGTAGTGATTTAGTTTAGATGTTGTATTGATTTTATAATAATTCGTAGTGATTTTTGCTAGTTATCACGGATAAGGGTTAGCACCTAATCCCACCCCGTTGGTTAGAGGCCAACCTAAGTAAAGGTAATCGCTAATCTCTATCAATCAGTTGAAAAACGGGACGGATTACGAAGGTTCTGACATGTTTTATTATCAGATTTTAACGGCAAGTGTTGCTGACATATGACACGTGTCGCGCTGCCGTTAACTGGACGGCTGGGCCGGAGTTCTAGGCGCAGGATTCTCCGAGCGGCTGTTTGTTTGTGAGATAAATGTAAGTCAGCCGAAGGAGTAAAGTAGAGGCAGCTTGCAGGTTATGGACGTGTCGGTGGCTCAGACAAATCAAGGAAAATGAACCGAACGGGTTAAAGCCCATTCAAGCTTTATTTCCATTAAAGTGACCACGAGACGAATGGAGTAGGCAGGCCAACATAAATTGGCCCATTAAACAGGTTCTTCGTTTAATGGATTTTACTGAGCTATAGGCCCACGATGAGATTGATCCATAGCTGCTAAAAGCCCACAAGATTTTATGAAAAATAATGTGACGAATGAAGCTCCTCCACTAGGAATCTAATGGCCAAAAAACAAAAACAAAAAAAATTTGAAGCTCCTCCACTAACAAAACAAACTATCACTAAAGCTAGTTTGGGCACTCGCAGATGCAGTGAATTGAAATTCAGAATTTGTATGCACTCCCTCACAATCACAATACCTTTTTTGTTCAAATAATTTGAGTGACGGAAAAATGATTAGTAAATCAAAGTGCGACTAGATAAAGGTTTTCTAGAAGTCAAGGATTTTGTCTTGAAGTTAGAGTATATATTATTGTGACTTCTCATAAGTTCACTCGTCCTTACAAGTGTTACACAGTGAATACGTTCAATTTCAGAATTCTCAGAAGAATTACTTCATTTTCCAAAAAAAAAAAAAAAACGTGTCTTGTCAATTAAAATCAATTTCTTACTTATTAACCATGGATCTATCCCAAAATTTCTCGATGTGAGATTCGCCTAAAGTGTTACATTCAGTAAGAACTTTTGTCAATGAATCGATTTAGGTGTCTAAATTTTTTAATGATATATTGTTTTTCTTCTACAATTAGTGAAAAGTTCATATTCTTTTTTGGTACCAAATGAAACAGAGGACGGGTCTGCACTTGCAGCAGAGGCAAACATAACTCATTCAAAAACTCCTAACTATAGTAGCTTTTGAAACAGAGGAAAATTGGATCACCAAGTTAGTTCTATTTCCCATTTCGGTTAAACTGTAAAATTTAACCAGGCAACACTCTTGTGAACAACCGGATTTCCTCCCCAACTCCATTCCAACAGTTACCAAATTCCTAACCTTCACCAAGAAACCAGTGACAACCCCATTATAATTACCGGTTTAAAATTCAAACCCACACTACTAACCTTCTTCTCTCTACTTCCTCCAATAAGCAAACCGAGCAGTTTCCCTTTCAGTACCCAAACAATTATTATAAACTCTGTTCTGCTGCTGCAGTTCCCACCCTCACCCCAAAAAAAAGTAACACAACAGTTACTTTTGATCAAACCAACAATGGAGTCGCTCTTCCTGCTGTTGTCCTACATCCTAATTTCTTCCTGCCTTCTTCTTACCACGGTCCACGCCGGTTCAGGCTACGTTTACTACGACTGGACCGTGTCGCTCTCGATTCGCTCCCCACTCGGAGTTCCCAAGCAAGTGATAGTGATCAACGACATGTTCCCCGGACCGCTGCTCAACGCCACCACCAACGATGTGGTCAGTGTCAATGTCCGCAACCACTTGCCCGAACCATTGCTGATAACATGGTACTTATGTTACGTAACCTGAAATCACACCATTTTACACTCTTTACTTTGGGAAAAATTAAGTTAATCTAGCACAAACAACCAACGTTCGATCCCTAGTCTATAGCGACGAAATTCTCTTTGTTCTGTTCAGGAATGGGGTGCAAATGCGAAGGAACTCGTGGCAGGACGGGGTGCGAGGAACAAACTGCCCGATCCAGCCTGGTCAGAATTGGACCTACAGTTTCCAACTCAAGGATCAAATCGGGAGCTTTTTCTACTTCCCGTCGCTTCTTCTTCAGAAAGCTGGTGGTGGATACGGCGCCATTCATGTCAACAATCGGAAGGGGATTCCGATTCCGTTCCCCCAGCCGGCTGAAGACATCGACCTGCTGGTCGGAGATTGGTACAATGTGCATCACAGGGTACGGAACCCTAATCCTGATTGGGTCAGGATTCGACTCTGTTTCGAGTAGAACGAATCGCAGATTCATGTTGTTGGGTGTCTTTTTGTTTTAGCAGGATTTGAGACAGATGCTGGATCAAGGGAGGCATTTGCCTCGTCCTGATGGGATTCTCATCAACGGACATGGCCGATATAATTTACACTTTCAACCGGGTAACTGAGTTGATTCTTGTTCGTTTTTTCGTCTTCTCCTCCTTCAACTCAATGGTAATTTTGGTCCAACTGTTTTTTTTTTTTTTTTTGGCGCGATCAGGACTTACCTACAGGCTGAGGATCTCCAATGTGGGAATCAGAACATCGTTAAACTTCAGAATCCAAGACCATGCCTTGCTTCTGGTGGAGACGGAAGGTTCTTACACGGTGAAGAAGTACTACAGCAGTTTGGACATTCACGTTGGCCAATCTTACTCTGTTCTAGTCAGGGCAAAGAACCTGACGCATGGTCATTCCTTCTACATCTTCGTCAGCTCTCGATTTACGAAGTACGAGCTCTTGGGGCTCGGCGTGGTGCACTATCCCGACTCGAGAATGCCTCCCTCTGGTCCAATCCCAACTCGGCCTGCACCGTTCGACTTTGGTTTCTCCATCAATCAAGCTCGCTCCATCAAGTGAGTACAGAAAGAGATTGTTTTTATCCCACATCGACCGATAAAAGAAAACTGTGTTGTTTTGCTTGTGAATTATTTTAGGTGGGATTTGGATGTGGGAGCTGCGAGGATGAACCCACAAGGCTCGTACCACTACGGCGCCATAAACGTCTCGAGGACGCTCATCCTCGAGAACGGTCTCGTCGTGGGGAGCAACAACAGGATCCGCTACACTGTCAACGGCGTGTCCTTCTTGCACCCGGACACGCCGCTGAAGCTAGCCGATCGATTCGAAATGTTCGACGAGCTCAAGATCGTGGTCCCTTCTTTCCCCGACGCTCCACAGACTGCAGAGACGATGAAGCTGCAGCGAATGGGAGCGTCGGTTGTGGATGTGAAGTGGCGCGACTTCTACCACTTGGTTTTCCAGAACCCTCTCCCTAACGTCCAGACCTGGCACCTCGACGGATACAACTTTTTCGTTGTTGGGTAAAAGCTATGAAACGTTTTGTACATCAAATTTTGAGCTCCTTTTTGCTAGAAGTTAAAGTGTTTCCGAGTAACGAAAAAACCATTTTTGTTGCGGTGGTGGTGAATTTGCAGAATGGGGGAAGGGCAGTGGAACGAGAAGGCGAAATCGACATACAACATGATCGACGCAGTATCGAGGTCGACGGTTCAGGTGTATCCTCAGGCATGGACAGCAGTACTGGTGATGCTGGACAACAGAGGGATGTGGAACTTGAGGTCGCAGAACGGAGAGAAATGGTATCTGGGGCAGGAGCTGTACCTGAGAGTGAAGGGCGTTGGAGCTGAAGATCCATTGACGATTCCAGCAAGAGATGAAGCTCCGATCCCTGGGAATGCCATCTTGTGCGGGCGAGTCATGAATCACACCAACGTTTGGGTTCCAAACTAGAGAAAACAAAAACGAACCGTCTCTCTGTACTGTTTTAATCATAAATTCCAAAGATGTCACTATAGGGTTAGACTCCATTCTAATAGCAATCTCATATGAAAGCTAATCAAAATATTGGATTAGTATATTTTGAAAAATCCAATTTGCACCCACATGAAACAAGACAACTGGGTTGAGTAAATGAACCCAATTGGGGGTTCGACCAGTGGTTTTTGGACCCTTTGGTTTTTCAAGCTTTTTGTAAGACATTGGGGATCAGATTAGGTACAAATTGGGGTGCCCAAATTGTCGTAACCAGGCTTTGGACTGGACACCCATCCCGCATAATTATGCGAGAGTGACCCACTCATCATGCCCCGCTTACTGCCTGAAGGATCATGGTTTGGTTGGCAGGCTCGATTCCCATTTTATAGCCTTGTTGTCGACTCCGTTTCCCATCACACTGTCGATGTGGTATTTGTTTCCTCCGTCGGGGTTCTCACAAGCACAAAGCATATTCCTGATTGGTTAACGATGATATCACTTGGCAAATTGGCATTCACTTGCAGCTCAAGTGCCTTTATGAATCTTATGGGATTGGATATTATGTGGGATATTAATTGTGATTTGTAATCAATCGCGCTGGAGTTGTACAACTGGATAAAAAAAAAAAATCAATAGTGACTATAATTACGATTGGATAATTTATCACAAGGCGCGAGTAAAAACAATGACTACATTTATGTCTGAATACAACTATGATCCAGGTTCGGTAATTTATCACAGGATGTGGGTTGGGGGCAGGTTGGCCCATATGAATGCAATTTAAAAGAAAAATATTAGAAATATTAATTTTCTTTCATTAAAAATCCAAGAAATAAACTATAATATGATAAATATAGTTAAATTATTCAAGAAATTGAGATTCTCACGTATTGAAAATTTCATTATAGTTAGGATATGAGGTAGTAAAAGTAAAAGAATAAGTAATTTGAATAAAATTACACGTGATCTAGGTAAAAATGAGTCGAGAATGGACGGTCAGAGCATGTCAGCATGCCAATTCGAGAAGAGTACCCAAGCTCACTCCACCTACGAGACAGGTATTACCCGTCCATAAACAGCAAAATCAAATCGGGTGAAACATGTTAGATCGAAATTATCATCTAACTACACCTACAATTATGTCGAAATTGTAGTCCTACTACTGCAAGAGCAATGACTAAAACTATTGTTGTACTGCTTCAAGTTATAGTTAGCAAACTAGCTCATATTCTTCCCAATACTAATCCAATCGATAAACAGAAAGATAATACTTCACCCGAAATCTCATTCTTGTAGTAGGTGATCCAAAATTTTGCTCAACATAGGACTATATCAAATTTATCATCACCAAACTATACTACTGCACATCATATATGATATACTTCCCCGCCAACCATTATATTTACACAGAAAAATAGAATCGCAACCCAATCACGTAACGCTAGATTGTCTCCCCAACCCTATAGAACCCATCTTTGTTGTTGTCTACATGGAATCCAACCCATCCAAAATATCCAGCAAATTCCCTCTTTGATGATGGACCAGCTTCCTCCTCCTCCCCATTTCCCTTACTGGTGAGTTCCCGGTGCTCTTCGTCCTGCTCAGCGCCGCCCAAACCCTCCCGCTCTTCTTCGAAAGCTCCTGGCTCTTACTTATCCCGGGGATCAGCCTCCTCCGGCGGCTTACCTTGTCCAGCAAGTCTCTGTCCTCCTGAGAGATTCTTGGGATGTGGCTGCTGTGATTTCGAGCTTCGTTCAACGATACGATTCGCTGCATCTTCGAGTGGAGATCCTGTCCTCGGAAAGTCGCAGACTTTGGAGCCAGGCCGGCTTGGCCACCGGATGATCGGAGACCATTGTCGCGTTGTCGGACTAGGGTGATCAGGTGGTGGAGCCATGCTACGGTCTCGAGGATGTGTTGGTCGGTTTGCTCCTTGTCTGCATGGTAGAGCGTCTGGAGGCGGATCAGGTTGCCTTGGGTGGCTTCACTGGCTCTGCCGTAGTCGCTTCTGTTAAGGAGCACAAGTTAGAGTCCTTTCACCATTGCATAAACTAGCATTAATAATAGGCGTTTTGAAGCGAAGAGTTGTTAACTGACCCAGTATTTGCCCATTCTCCAACCCAGCCGAAACCTTGGTGAGCTCTGTTGTCAAATCATAAGGGAAGAACACCATAAACTTAAAGTCAAAATCGGATTATACGAGACTTAAGAAAACTTGGGTAGGATTTCCAAGAGCAAAGGCATACTTGGTTGTGTTGGCGGCAACAGGTACAAGCCATTGGAGGGTCTTTTCCATTTCAGCCTTCACTTGAGCTATTGTTAGCTGTAGGTGAATATTGATGAAAACGCAGTGATGAGATTGATTGAACTGGTAAGCATTAGGGAGAGAGAGAGATGGAGAGAGCTAGAGGTAGAATGGAGTGTACGGTGTACCTCTTCCTTCTCGTCGAACATCTGTAATCGAGACCTTAGAGATATTTTTACGGTGGGTGGCAATCCTTGGTACAAAGAATCCCTTGTGTTTGGAGGAAGACTAGTGGGACGAGATGCCTAACAACAAACCGAATTTCAGTTGAAAGAATCTCAAAGGACAAGTCTTTTCTCTTTTATCATACATAGCCACAAAGAAAGAGAACTGTTGCACTTACAATGTTGTCTATCTGAGTGATCATGTTGGCATAATGCAATGCTAAACCAGCTTTTCCAAGCGTTGGAAGCTTGTCGACCTTATCAACCACTGTGACACCTGTCGACCCATAAAAGAGACTGTTTAGCAGTTTGTAATCAGTGAGTTCTTCATAAATCAGAACTCTACATCATTTTCAGGCATTCCAATCTAGAATCTGAGAAGATTTGTTGATAGCAAGATTTCTGAAGTAGCTACAAACATTACTTTATGCTAATATATAAGGAACTTGCTATCAAATGTAGAACATCCACACTGAATTGCCCTCATACCAGTATTTCCAAATGCTTCCAGAATAGCCTGGTGCAAATAGGTTACAATGTCTACAAGCTTCTCCATGATCTGCCAAGAGCATAAAACAAATTATTATTCGACTGGTTCATAGTAAACCAACCGCATGAAATTGCAACTGCAAGGTGCAGATATAACTAGCCAAAAAGTTCACTCATAAGATAGTGTCATAGTAATACTTGTAGAGGAAATAAACTATTTAGAAGATACAAGTACCTCCTCCAAACTTTTAGACCACAGAGATCTCTTTTTCAAGCTGCGGACAAGTTTCCGTTGCTCTTTCAACTCGCTATGTAAAATTGAGAGGCTCTCTCCTACAATTCATCAAAAAAATGAACAGCAGGCTCATTAGGTATATTCACTCTATCAAAGCTGGTAGGCATATGTATCTATTGGTCGACATGCAAAACAAGAACAAACCTTTCTGAGGGAGGTGCAAGGACTGTAACTCCTCAACCTTTCTTTGATAATCTTGCTCAAATCTGTCCAATGAATGCAATTCATGATACAGTTCCTGCACAACATACAAATAAGTAAGAAATCTTTCAGAACCCAATGAAGATTAGAATCATTGGCTAGAGATGTTCAAGACAAAGGTTTGGACTTTGAAAGACTAGACAGGCAGAGCTGACATTTATCTCTTAAAGAATATCACTAAAGTTCAGACTACCTAATTTCTTTATGGTTAAAAAGTAACACACCCGAAAGGGGAAAATTAGCTTTATTTTCTCGTTTACTGAGTTATGGTAAGCAGGCTATTTCCATCATATGACCAAGTACTAGAATTCTAATCAAAGGAAGTGATTTCAAGATTAGAGGGTAAGCACAACGGCTGATAAAGGAACCCCAATATAGCTTTCATGAGGATCTTACAGAAGTATGTTGCACCAGATTAGTCAACTCTTGCACAGTTCTCTCAGCTTCTTGTCTTGATTGTTTATCAATCGAAGCCTCTGGATCTAATCTGCCATGTTTCATCCATTTCAAGACATTAATAACATGTGGCCAGCATAAATCCAATGAGAAACTTGCATCTCTGTATAAATACCGTACTTTGAAAAATATCGGCCAAGGTTGTGCCATTGGGGATCCTTACAGAGGTCTCCAAACCGAATTACTTCGCGCGAGAAGACATCAAATTCTTCCCTGCAAGTGGAAACACTGATATCAGTGAGATCACTATTCTCCAGCACGATGGAATAGGAAAGAGTTTCTTAAAGCAAATAGCAATGACCTTTTGTCAGCTGCAGCAATGACTAGCAACTCTTTCATATCCGTAGAAATCAACCGCTTAACACCTTCTGAATGCAGAATCTCCTTTTTCAGGAATTCGACATTCTCCTCTGAGAGAGACTGAAACAAGTTCCCCCCTTTAGATATCGTATTAGCTACTTCAAATGCCAGTATCGATATTTTGTTCCCTCTGGATGCTATACCAGTGACAAACCCACTCCGGCCATTCAAATTCGACATACTACTTCCTAGAGTGTCGAGAACTTCTAACGTTTTCTCCAGCCCCATTGTGCCTGCTTTCCCCAGGAAGGACGTCTTGTGAGTAACCTACATGAATTGAAATCAAGCTGAAACCAGTAAAGAACAGTATATACAAGGAAACCATCTGATTAGGCAAAGAAAACAACAGGTCCCCAAGCATCAATTAACAGAGTTAACAATTAACAGAGTTAACATCCAGCCAAAAGAAGAGAACATCCTGCATTGGGTTTGAAGCAAGCATGAACACTGGCTTAAACATTGCACATTCAGCTACAAACAACTCCAGCTTGGCCATGGCTTCTGCTCGAGTCTTTAAGCCAAAAGAAGAAAACATTCTCCATTGGGTTTGAAGCAAGCAAGAATACTGGCTTAAACAAGAAACATTCTGCTATACACAACTCCAGCTTTGCCATGGCTTCTTCTTGAATCTTTAAGAGCCATACATACAAGGCGATTGCTGTTAAGTTCCATTTGGTGTTCCGAGAATGAACATCCCATTCCACCATTGTCAAACATCTGATTCTGATTGTTCAAAATGATAACCCTCAATCCCTGTTTCGTTTCCACAATCTCTCTTAGAATTTGACTTCATCTCTTTATCACAGCTCCAGCTAAAGGTCAAAGATAACAGAAGGCTATTCATTGCCACATTCTTCCAGAAACCAATAACAATCCTTAGGCAGCAACAATCTATGGAGTAAGTCGTAGCTGAAGCATGATGCATCGCAGTTATCTCCACACCTAACGACTACATCCAGCGTTGACGATTTATGCTCGCTACCAGTTCAACGATCTGTAAATTCCTCGAATGAAAAGAAGAAAATTAAGACCAACACGGAAGACTAATTCATACCTTGACCGGCGTGTCTCCTCCAGCTGGCGGCTTTGACGGCTTCAACTCTCTCGAAACGGACAGCAAGAACTCGCCGGAATAGTGCCTCTCCGGCTGCTGCGTCTTCTTCTTACCTCCGTTCACAATCGCGCGGGAATCCTCCACCTCCTTCCCGCCGCTGCTCTTCTGCGACTTCACCAGCTTCCCGGAGAACCCCGACTTCTTCTTCACCTCCGCCTTGGCATTTCCCTCTTTCTTCACCCCGCCGGCGCACACCCCGCCCATTTTCCACTCGAATCCGAAATCCGCCGGCGGATGGGAGTCGAAACTGTAACCGAGAGCGATATCGGATTTCGAATTTCGCTTGAACTACCTTACGGAAGAGAAGTAGAAGTAGAAGTAGAAGGGGAGGATAAATAATTTGACGGGAAGAAGACTTTGATTGGGGATTAAAGAATTCTGAGGTGCAATGAATCATGAACCATAATTGTGAGAAAATTCCAACTTTCTAAGCGTGAAAAACCAAACGCGGCTGCTTCCTTAACCAAAACGGAAATCTCGTGGAGGAATTTTGGTCGAAAGCTGCCAATGGAGAATGGGAATGGAACTGGTAATTCTTTTGACCGAATTGAAATTGAGAAGAGAATAAATTATAATTTATATTTCCCTCCCTTCCTAGCAACGCCAAATGCCCAAATGGACAGAGATGTTTGACTATTATTTTCTTGTTCTCTTCTAGTTCTGTAAACTTGGCTTGATGTTGGTTGATACGGCTCAACCCAGTAATATTGATGAGAATTAGTGTTGTTAACCTCGGTATTTACAAAGCATACCGGATTGATAGTCATAAGAAAAAAAACTTGTCTATCAAAATTAAATAGCGGAAATTTTCTGGATATAAAATGATTGATTCATGATTAAATTATGGTTAACAAACAAATATCATATTATTAATTTTTTCGGTACAAACTCCCAATAGAATTTTATGATCCTTGGTTGAGCGACCCATTAACATATGGTGATTGTATAATTGTTTGATAGTAGAACATAGGAGATGCGAGGTGGATCCAAACACCTAACTCAATGGTCAGATTAGAATGATGAAGTTATGTGAAATATTTAATTGAATACGAGGATTTTATCGGTAAATTACTAATTTTACTCTTTGACTTGTATGATAGATTATTCGAGGGTAGAAATCTTTTTTTTTTTGGCAAAAGGTATTCATATATTGAATCAAACAGAGATAATTACATCCTGGTAAAAAGCCAGGCCCGAAAATCAAACACACAGCTCATAGCCGGAGACAAAGAAAGGGCCTTTCTAGCCACCCTATGGGCTACCCTATTGTTCTTCCGACCTATAAACCGCACACCTAACCCTGGATGAGACCGAAAATAGTCTATAACTTCTTCGAGAATAGCGCCCACCCGGTTATCACTAGCTTGCCGCGAAGTAATCTTGTCAATAATCACCTTGGCATCTCCTTCAAACCTCACCTCCGCGAATCCGAGCCCCAAACACCACCCAATCGCCTCTCGAAGGGTTAACAATTCAATGACCATAGGATAATCAAGGCCAGGAAACTGAATTCCTCTGGCTAGAATTATATCCTGAGTTGAAGTCATTAGAACCATACCCCCAGCCGAGGGAGCTCCCTGTCTGGTAGCCCCATCCCAACGGCAGACGACACTGGCCTCACTAGATGGGGCCTCAGGGAGAGCCGACGGGGTACGCGAAGGAAGAACACGATCACTGGGGATGCTCAACCATTCCTCACATTGTTGGTGAAATTGCCGCATTAACGTCGGGATCCCAAACTGCTTGCCCTCAAAGACAACCCAATTCTGGGACCGCCAGATCCGCCAGAGGACCGCCACCAACGCCATAAACAACTCCGGCTGATGAATGAGATTCATAACCTTTTTAAGGAACAGAGGAAAAGTATGGCAAGGTAATCCCTGTCCTAAAAACTCCAACCCCGAGAGATCCCAGAGTGCCCGAGCCACCGGGCAAAAGAGAAAAAGGTGCTCTAACGTCTCAGTTTCCGCCCAACAAACCGGGCATCTGGGGTGAACTGTACCTCTCTCTCAATCAGGGCCTCCGTAGTTGGGAGGAGACGGTTTAAGAGCTGCCACAGGAACACCTTCAGCTTTGGCGGGATAGGAGCCTCCCAAACACGGATCCAACTAGCCTTATCCATCCAACTCACCAACGATCGCCATCCACCTCTCTGTTTATCCACTAGGACCGCTAGATGGTAAGCTGATTTAACAGAAAATTGACCATCAGCCGTGTCATGCCAGATCAGTCGGTCAGGCCTGGGCTGCCTAGGAAGAGGGATTGCCTTAATAACCTGACAGGTAGGGGGGTCAAACCATTGCTCCAGCTTGGCATCACACCACCGGCCCTCACCTGGGCACAACACCTCAGCAACATTCAAGTCCCTGTCTTCAGGAATAATCCGAGGATTACTAACCGGGGCAGAGGGATGCAGGCGAGGAATCCAGCTGGAATGCAGCAATGAAGCGTTCTGACCATCACCAATCTGCCAACGGAGACCCCTCTCCAACAAATCCCTTCCAAACAGAATACTTTGCCAGCCCCAAGAAGGACGTGACCGGGCCGTGGCCATAAGGAACGTACCCTGAGGAAAATACTTACCCCTATACACTTGGGCTAAGAGGGACTCAGGTTCATTCAGGATACGCCAGCCAATCTTAGCCAGGAGTGCCTGATTAAAATGTTCGAAGCGACGGAAGCCCATACCACCATCATGTTTACTGCGGCATATATTACGCCAGGACATCCAACGAATTTTGGAACGGTCACCCTCAACGCCCCACCAGAACCTAGCTAAATGCTTATCCAGAAGGCGACAGAGGGCCAAGGGGAGCTTAAAACATGACATGACATGCAGTTCTTCATACTCATTTAACACTGCAAGCAGGTTTTCACACTCCTCGAGAGAGCCACGAAGGAACAGATAGGAATCATCAGCGAAGAAAAGGTGAGAAATTCTCGGAGCACGAGGAGCAACCTTCACTCCCTCCAATTTGCGTTCCGCAATAGCCTTCCGCAGGAGAGCGGCAAACCCCTCAGTGCAGAGTACGAAAAGTAAGGGTGAAAGGGGATCCCCTTGTCGAAGCCCCCTGGTCGGCGAGAAATATCCCGAAGGCGTGCCATTCATTAGAACCGAAAAAGAAGTGGATGTCAGGCATTCTTTGATCCATCCCCTCCATGTAGAATTAAAGCCCATTTTCTCAAGAACCGCAAGAAGAAAGGGTCATTCGACTCTATCATAGGCCTTTTCCATATCAACCTTTAGAGCCATGTAACCTTTCTTGCCTTGATTCTTGATCTTGAGGTAATGCATTAACTCATGCCCAAGGAGAACGTTATCCACTATCTGGCGCTCTTTAATGAACGCATTTTGCCCCTCCGAAACAATATTCGGTAAGAGTTCAGCCAGGCGCTCCGCCATGATTTTAGTAATGACTTTATAAATGAATTGGCAAAGACTGATAGGACGAAGTTGGCGCATGTTTTCCACCGCATCCACCTTAGGGATCAAAGTTAGCCACGTGTGATTGAAGCTCCGCAGTATTTTGCTCGTCGAAAAGAAAGAGCAGACCGCGTTAATCACTGACTCGCCAACAATGTCCCAGAAGGCCTTAAAGAATTTGCCAGTGAAACCATCAGATCCAGGTGCTTTTATCGAACCCATAGCAAACACAGTTCTTCGAACATCACAAGGCTGGACTGTAGCTGTGAGAGCAGCATTCATCTCAGGAGAGACACTGCGAGCTATCGGGAGGTTAGCCACCCTGTCATTCATATTCCCTACACGATTCTCTGAAGTGAACAGGTGCTGGTAAAAAGAATTGGCCAAGCTAGCCTTCCCAGCCTCATCGGTGATCCAATCCCCAGAGTCATTAAGCAGCCCAGCAACAAAATTCTTCTTTCTTCTGGTCCTTGTGACCGTATGGAAGTAAGAAGTATTTTGGTCCCCTTTTTTCAGCCAATTGACCCGAGATTTCTGTTGCCAGTAGATTTCTTCCGCCTCCCATTGCCTATTTAACTCCGTTTCCAGAGGTCGGACCGCCTCCCAATCGACCGGATGGATAAGTTTGATTTGATCAATTTCCGCCTGGAGGGTTCTAATATTGCGCAGGGAATTGGTGGTACCCGCCCTACTCCAGTCATAGAGCAAGTGGCGAAGTTTCTTCAGCCGCTCCCATAATTGGAACATAGGCGTGCCCTGAATCTCCTCCTTCCAAACATAGTCCACCATAGCCCGTACCTCAGGATTATCAGCCCATCGGGCATCAAATCTAAAAAGCGGGCGACAATGGCGACGATACGGTTGGTCAGAGAGGAGAATGGCACGGTGGTCCAATCCCTGGTCAGTGAAGTGTTTCACCAAAGTTTCCGGAAACTGAGTGATCCATATTTGGGAACAAAGTGCCCGGTCCAACCTCTCACGAATACATGCATCTCCCATACGTCTGTTCGTCCAGGTGAATTGGTCCCCTTGGAAACCAGGATCGTGAAGGCCCAAGTCCAGGATAAAATCGCGCAAACTAAAGGACTGAACAGCATTCCAAGCATTCCCACCATCTTTCTCACTTTCGTGGAGAGTAGTATTAAAATCACCAATGACAACATAGGCGAGCTGGATAGAGTTACAGAGATCTCGTAATTGGGATAATTGCTCATCGCGAGTGGCGATATTACAACTTATGTAGACAGAGACCACAACATAAGAAAGACCATTTTCATTAATCTTCGTGCAAATACAAAAATTTGAATGAAAGAACACCGAGGCATCAACCCCAGGGGACCAAGCTACTACTAATCCTCCAGATGCATCAACAGCATCAACAAAGAAACAATGAGACTGATGGAAACCTAATCCCCGCATACGCCGGGTAACTACTCGCCGGTTCGATCGTGTCTCCGCGAAAAACACAAGATCTGGTTTATTAGAATGCACTAACCCTACAGCAGTTTGGAATGTGAGGGATGGTCCAATTCCTCTCACATTCCAGGCGAGTATCCTCATTTATCCGATTGGGGCCATTTGAGGCTGGCTTCCTCCACCTTTTCCATATCATCTCTATCCTCCACGAATTGTTTTTTGGGGGTTGGATTTTCCACAAACACCCCATCAATCTCGTCAAAATGCCGTTTTTTCATCCCAGTTCCCAGTTCAGGGAGATTGGTTCCATATTCGTCCAGTGGGGTCTCATCAGTCGCAGTAATGATCTCCGCATTTGGCCGGGCTTGGGGCTGAACCAAATCAGCAACCTCCTCCTTATCCTCCATAGCCAATCCACGTTCAAAAGCCCGGACCACTTTACTGACCCTAGACGATTTCACCAGCCTTTTTAGAACCCCGGATCCCGAAGGAACTCGGCGCCTAAGCTCAAAATTCTGGGCTTCATCCTCCGAGAAGGTAGCCTCCGAATCCAGAGGGTCTGTATTGGGCTCAGGCAAAATTGGGCCGGCCTTTGGAGATGGCGGTAGGCCCCCTTTTTTACCCCTGGACTCCCAATTTGCAGGCTCCGGCTGTACATCCTGGGCTTCCACAATGGACCCGGCTTTGGGCTTAAGCGAACAGGCCCGAGCAGCTTTCTTCTCCTCTTTGTTATTCCTCCTGGCCGCAGGCTTAGAAGCCATGGGCGGATGGGTCAGCCCAAACTTTCCTTTAGGGGACGGACAATCAGACCCCCTAGATTCCTTGCCTTTTCGTCTGGTCAAGGGTTGCATTTTGTGACCTCCCTGAGAATTATAAGGATCAGCCGGAATCAGCGGCGGCCGAGGACCCTCCTGCCCAATAGAAGGGATGGGCTGGACAGCAAAATCGTCTTCCGACTCTTCTTCTAGGATGAGGCGCCGGCGGCGAGTCTCCTCCAGAGCTCCTGCCCGCGATGAATTGCCCGCCGGAGGAATCGGTCCGTGTGCTGCGGGTTGTCTCCCCTGCTGCCTCCTAGTAACCGCAGGACCCACCTGTTTTTCAGCCCGCAAGGATTTCACATTTCTGCCACGGCGACGCGGGAGCGAGGCAGAATCCTGGCGCTCCTTAGTGCACTCATCAATCTCCATTGGACTGCCCCCTTGCGCAACCTGACCCCTACCCCGCCGATTTGGTCTCCCAAAGGGGACTTTGGCAGCTTTCGGGGTCGGGAATTGGCGAGGGCTTCTCCCCTGCTTGGCTCGCATCGCAGCAGGCTCTGTCTTGGCGAATGGGTTCTCCGAAGACCCCATCCACAATGGACTCTTGTCCACAACCAGCTTCTTGGCAGTGGGAGGAGCTCGCCGCACCAATGTTCCTGTGCGAGGCTCCGGGCGTGCTTCCCTTTCCGGCATTTGTCTGGCATTCGAATTGATCCATACCGAGTTAGGGTGACCAGAAAAGCCTTGGTTGTGGTCATCCTCATCAAAAATATTTCTCCCCATTTTTTTGGTAGTCATGTGGGGACCAAACCTCTCCTTCCTTGATGGCGAGTCGAACACACAACTCTGGCGAAAGTGGCCGACACGACCGCAATTGTAGCAGAAACTGGGGAGGTGTTCATACTTGAACCCGATCGAGAAAGAGCCTGTCTCCTCATTAGACGCCCAGATTTGGGATCGTAGTGGCTTAGAGAAATCAATGAGGGTTTTAACCTTGATGAACGTACTAGCAGTGTCCGTGCAAGAGAAGATGCCAGATTCGAGAACTCTGCCAAGAGTGGAAGTCGCCACTTTTCGTCCAAACAGTTGGGTGCAGCACTCTTCTTGCACATCCCACATCTGGACACGAAATGGGGCAGTAGCCATCTCCTCAAAGGTTCGAGCCGTAATGTTCGGTGTCCAGGAACGCAAGTGAAGGATTTTATCCATAATCACCCAAGGAGTGCGTTGGAGAACCCAGTTCTTGGCAGCTTCGGTTGGGAGAACAAACTCGATCAGTCCATGTGCCACCTCCCTGACCTTGATTCGCCCTTGGCTTTGCCATGGATTGTTTATTGCCGCACGAAGTTCATTGATCGCCAGCGGATCCACAGAGAAAACTCGGCCGAGCAGCATTCTCGATTTGCGCACCCTGTCGGACTATATCTCTGTTAGCGAAAACTCCACCACCTGATCGCTGGTAACGTGAGCCATGTTGGCCGACTGCAGCATAGAGGAGAAGTTCACATTATATATATTAAACATGGCCGAAGCTTCGCCAACAGGATTCCAGGGGAAGCTCGAGAAATTGAAAAGAAAATTATTGGTAGGAAAAGCATCTACCCAAACACTGAGCAATATATCCGTAACCAAAAACGTCCACGTACCAGAAAAGGGCTCCTTCGTGGGTTTGGAAACGTATTTGCCAGGCACCCGTTTCACCTTTCGTAATTGAAGCGGGATAGAACTTGCTGGCCGCGTTAAATAGGCAGGCCATTTTTGAGAGCCCCACTGGGGTGGGAACTCTATCTGGAGAGGGAGACAATTTTGTTTCAAAATAGAATAACAGCTAGTGGATTTCCCTAACCGTATAGAGATCCGGCAGATCCCAAAATCCCCTCGACCGTTAGATATCCCCGAGGAAAGCGCGAACCCCCTGTAATTACGCTTGCTGGGCAATTTTCCTAGCAGGGATCTAAGCTCGCAGCTATGGGCTTCCAATCTTATTGCCAGACTCCTTGTATGCTCTTTTTGCTCTGTGAGCTCTTTCGAAATACTTTGATCATCCTGTGATTCTTTGGTAGTCTCCTCCGGCGACGGTAGATAGAACCGCCACAGCACCAGTTGTGAACGCCGTGCTCGCTTGGGTTGAGGGGATTCGTGGCTATGGGAAATCGAGAGGGTTTGTCTTTTCTTCCTCTTCCCAGGCCCGACCCGGTTGGCCTCTCCCCCAGAGAAGTGCTGATCGGAGTCAACTCGTGGTCGTCGTCCTCCAAGTAGCGTCCCCGGAATATTCGTCTGCGCTCCCACCGGTTTCCTGTGTGAAAACGCCCACCAAAATCCCTGCTGCTCATGATTTGCGAGGGCCGATTTGAAGATCGCCACCACAAGAAAGAGAAAGAGGTCGCCGGCCGTTCGGCTAAGCTGAAGCAGAGCCCGCAGCCAGAGACCGAGGAGAGAGGCGAGAGCGCCTATCATCTTTTTTTCATTTAACCTAGGGTAGAAATCGACATCTAACCACCAGATAACTCAAAATTTCCAAGGGAGGTATGAAAAGGGGTGGTGGTGACTGGTGAGGTCGTCGCCCACCACCGCTGGACTCTGACTAAAGTAGTAACAATAATTATACTAAATGGTCTTTGTATTTTAGTTTATTTTGCCGGTTGAAATTATCTTATGACCCTCCATCCAATCCAGCGCCTGCCGCCGGCGGATTAACTCTGGCACTGCAATCTGAAGAAGCCGTCGGTGAATGAATACGACTGGATAATGTCATGATATCCTTCATAAATCATAATCCTTGTATTGCATCGGTGGTGAATTGTCAACGCTGGAGATGGGAAAGCTTTCAAGAATTTGGTTTTGATGTGACATGTCATTAATGTACGGTTGTTCCCGAAATCGAACAAAGATTGCTCATTCTTCACTATTGTCACATAATGCAATATTTTTCATAATCGGTCAATAAGGATGGGAATGGGTCGGGTCGGTGATGAATAGTGCATATCTATTACCCTACTCAAAGTAGTTCGGGTTTTACCTGTATGTGAAACGGGTAGAAAATCAAAGGGTTAATACCTTATTTTGGCCTGAACTACGATCATATAATCAACTTTGGCCCGTGGTTTCATAAATTAACATCATGACCTGAATTATGCAACATATAGACTCAATTGGCCGGAAACGTGGTTTAACCGTCTATTTGGACGGTCAATGGTGTTGACCGTTAGTCAACTATCCAACTCACTGCCATGTCAGCACCAAACCAGAAAAAAATTCAAAATTCAAAATATTTATCATTTTCTTTAGGGCTAATACCACTAGGAAACCCCAACTATCAAGAATGTGTCATTTGTAGGGCTGGAAGTTTGAACCGGTATTTGGGATATACCGAATACCGTACCGAATTCGTCTATATTTGGTATTACCGAATACATGTATTATTTCTTGGGATTGGGATTGGGATTCAATTTCAATTGTTATTTGGTATTAGGGATTACGGGATTGAGATCGGTATATACCGAAATACCGAACAATACCAAAATATAAGCTAGTGTGCACTTTATCCTCTCAACTAGACTCTCTCATTCACTACTACACAACCGTCAACCACCAATCTATTGTTATTTTCATAAAACCAAAAAGCAAACACTGGTATTAGTCTTCTCTCAACCTCCAATTTGTCAAATTAAAGATTACCAATGACAAAAATTTGAGATGTCACCTCTCCATTCTCCTTATCCATATCCATATCCTAGCTCTAGCCAAACTCAAGACTCTTTGCTTAGTCTATTTGTCCTATATTAAACAATCAAATCTAATTTATATATTTAATTATTAATTGTAAAGGTAATTAATTTCGTATTCGATAATACTGATTGGGATACCGAAATATTTAGGGATTGTGATTGGGATTGTGATTGACTTTAGGGTGTAATTCGGTATTCGGGATTTCAGTATTTGGTATTGGGATATCGATACCGTACCGATTTCCACCCCTAGTCATTTGTATCCTAAACTATCCAATATGACATTTGTGTCCCAACGTATGATAGTTGTGTGTCATTTATGTCCCGACGATTTCGTTGACCGTTATAGATAACGGTTGACCAGACGGTGGTCAACATGATTTTGACTTTTTCTGACGTGGCAAAAATGTGGCAACCACATAAATGCCACGTCAGTGACACCTCATAATTTTTAATTAAAAATTAAATAAAAAAATAATATAATGTTATAAAAAAATCAACATCTCAGCCATCTCCTATCCCTACTGCCGCCTGCATCTCCTCCGTCCTTAATCCACCGTCACCGCCGGCCATTTATATCATCCATAGCTCGTCAACAACACCCCGACAGACCCGCCACAAACAGACCCATCCCCTCGTCCTCCCATCATCAGATCTATCATTACAAAACGGGTAAAATACCTCGGGTACCACTTAAGTTAGAGAATTGGGGCAGACATACCACTTAACTTTGAATAGGGCGTCAGGTACCATTAAAGTCACCAAAATGTGCATCCGTCTAATCCAACCCAAAATTTTAATTACTTTTTGGTACCCAAAACTTTTAAAAAACATCCAAAACTATATTTCAACAAGTTTTTATCTAATATAGAAATTAAAAAACCTTCTAAACATAATATTACTAAAATACTAATCAAAATTTTCAATAAAATAGACGAGTTAGTAAAAATAATAAACAAATATCAAGAAGAAGAATAAATATATAGAATATAATAATAAATATTTAAAATCAATATTAGAAGATCTATTTAAATCACTAATCCGATAAGAAGTACCATTAAAAATAGTTAAAATAGAATCTAATCGATCATCAATACATCAAGACCAAAGAAGGATAAATGGAACATAGTTAGAAAAAATTAAACATATTACAGTAATTGAAGAAAATTTAGAACGAAAATAGAACGAAAGTAACCAAGAAAATTATACAACATCTAGATGATGTACGAGAATTAAATATAACATCCTCATATTATTTATATCGATATAGAATTCATAGGATATATTTGCTTAAGCAAATTATTCGATTATTATAACACATAATGGTAATTTAAAGTACTTGTAATGATAATTGATTCTACATTTCCTATTCAAAAATTGGTTTGTTATCAAAATCTTAAAAAAATAGAATAATTCAATTATTTGAAAACATAATGATAATTGAAAATAATTATAATAATAATTAATTTTAAATTTTCTATTCAAAAATTAATTTGGTATCAAGTTTTCAAAAGAGGATACCAATTAAATAATAAAAATTGATGTTTTTCATAAGTCAAAATGATTTTTTATAATAAGAAAAGTAGAAGGACCAATTAAGAAATTTAGAAAACAAAATATTCCAAAAATATTCTGTTAACTTTAACGTAATTCACTTAACATTAAACTTAAATGGTACCGGATGCACGAATAATAGAGTTCAGTGGTCTCGACGCCCTATTCAAACTTAAGTGACATATCTGCCCCAATTCTGAAATTAAGTGGTATACGAGGTATTTTATCCTTACAAAACCCACAATCCTTTTCCTGGGAATCAACAACAACAACCCACAATCTGCTATGCTATTACAAGAACCCATCCCCTGAATCACGAACCCAATCGCCAGAATACATACAATGAATACCAATCTCAAACCCCCAATTGTAGAATCTAACTCTTCACCTCCCAAAACGCGAAGAAGAAACCTAGAACTCCAAATTGACTGGCGGATGCTCTTGCCTGCTCGTTCGGCCTCTGTCTCAACCTAGACAATAAGCTCGCTCTAACCATTTCCATACAGATTCGCCGCAGATTCAGCTTTGACGGCTGGCGTTGGTGGCGAGAGAATGATGGAGAGTCGCTCTGAGACGATGTCACTGTCGGCTTTTGCCGGCCTTGAGGAGGAAGAAGAAGGATTTTTCCTCTATAGCCGACTTCCGCTGCCCAGTCCCACCACTGCTGGCAAACGTTTCGCCGGAAGGATCTTACCAGCGGCCACCCAACCACTTGAGCAGGGGGAGCAGACTGGTCCTGGTCGGTCTCCTGACCTGTAGGCGAAGCAAGGGAGATCTGGGAATTGGTTTACGAAGAGAGGAGAAAAGGGTTTGGGAATTTGGGAAAAGGGTAAGAAGAAGGGATTAGTGGGTTGGGGGTGAAAATGTGATGAGTTTTTTTATTTATTATTTTTTTACTCCTTTTCGAATCTATTTTTGTTTTTGTTTTATTTTTTTTCTATTCATTTATATAAAAAATAATTATAAATTCCACTTCAGATGCCACATCAGCGCTGACTAGACTTTCTGTTAAAAAAGTAACGATCAACGCCGGTCAACTATAAATCTATAATGGAAAAATAATTTAGGACACAAATGTCATATTGGATACTTTAGGACACAAATGACACATTCTTAATAGTTCGGGTTTCCTAGTGGTATTTGCCCTTAAATTCCGGCCACCTATTGGAAATTGGAATCCTAACCATCCTTCTTCCCCATCGCCAGCTTATCCCTCATAAGCTCTATTCTCTTTTCTTCTGAAACCATTGGAACCAAATGCATAAGCGGAAAACATTAAAACCCCAAGCTTGAACATCCAAATTTCGATTGAAGTACCCAACCGTTCATTCGTTCGAGGAATTTCATCGAGATCTCATGGTTGGGCAAAAATTAATGGTACCCTAAAAAATGGAATTTGAGAGAGACGTGGCAAGCCACCTGAAAATGGTTGCTTCATTGAACTCATATCCATATCTCTCCTCACTTCCTCCACCGTATTGCATCTCCCCCAATCCCCTGCCAATCAATTCAATTCCATATCTTCAAGCTTCGGTTCGAGGAGGCAGAGTAAATCATGTCGCTAATGCGATGTCGAGAGCAGCGACGATTTCAGTGTGTTGGATCTGAGAATCTTCTTGTGGCGGTGGACAGTGATGAAGATGCTCGAGAAAGTGAAGCGTCGAAGCTTGTCGATGACATTCGGGAGCACAACGAGAAATTTTTGTCGGCGTTCCGATGAAGATGGTTTCCCGGCACAGATCTTGTCGCCTTGATGGGCGGGGAAAGCTTTATCGTCTCGAAACGTCGTGGCCTTAATGGACGAAGAGTATTGGAGCAGAGGAAGGCGGCAACACAGCGGGTAAGGCGGAGGAAGGGGATTGGTTGCAGTTTTGAAATTGGGATTTTTTCTGGTCTGGGAGAGATTTGTTTGAACCGAATACGATACAGAGGAAGGAGGGTTAAATTCATTTATATTGATTTATTTATTGAATAACTGGATTTTTAATTAGTTTATATTGCTTACATGACATCCACGTCAGCACTACATGTTGATTCACTAACGGTCAACAGTGTTGACAGTCTAAATTGACGAAAATTCACTAGTCAAGCCAAACTAGTCTATATGTTGCATAGTCGAAGCCAGCATGTTAATTTATGAAACCACGGACCAAAGTTGATTATATAGTCATAGTTCGGACCAGAATAAGTTATTAACCCAAAATCAAAATCATGTCCATACCCGTTCAGGTTTTGGATATCCAAAATTATTCATGGGTAATAAAATTCATTCATAACTCCAGCCAATATGTTAACATTCACATGTATTCTCACATGTATCTCACAATTTCATGAAAATATTATATTTATATGCTAAATATAAAATATGTTAGAGAAAAATAATGATTGTTTCTAGATAAACTACATCTGCATGTGTATAATCGGGCGGGTTCGAGTTGGATAGTGAGAAACCCATGCCCACCCATTACCGCAATACTCGGGTTCGAATTTTACCCATAGCCACTAAATGTCTTTCGGGTTCAAATTATACCCTACCCAATTAGGCCGGATTCGGATGGATATCCGTAGTTATTTTTGCCATCCATATCGGTCAGGAGTGAATAGATTATTTGTGTTTTCACGATGAATTAGAAGACGTTTATTGGACTTTCATAAATAAAAAAATACACAATTTATATATGTCGAGTTGAAAAATATCTGTGTGTACTTAATCATATTTGTAGTATTGTGATTTTGAGCGGATGTATATCAATTATGATTATGAAATGTCAACAGTTTATTACTAAAGAAGAGCCTATAGATGAAAGGAAAATCCAATTTAGAATTCAAACTTATAATCTAAAAGTATACACTAAACCTGATCCTTATTCTCAATATCATAGTGTATTATGTTTTACAAATTACAAACATAAACATTTTATTTCTTTCACATAAAAAGGAGCCGTTATATTTTTCTCTACAAAAGCTACTCTTTTTCACAATAGGATTTAGAAGAGAAAAACAGATCAAAGCAAACCAAGTGAATATAGCCATTGCCCCTTTCAAGGAAAGTCCGCGGGCTTTTAACTTGTCCTGAGTCTTGGCGTCGGGGTTAATAGTTGTTACGGGCCAAGTTTGTTTCAATGATGATTGGATTCCTGATTACAAGCCCACTTTTAATTTATGGACAGGCAACAGTAGTATTCTCATCGACCAAAGTTGGAGGAATTTTAGGAGTGCTATAGGTTTTTGTTTTTATGGTACAACTTGAAATTGTACTTTTAATATTATGGTATAATTTCAGATTGTACCTATACTTTTTGTACAAATTCTTTTATAGTAGAACTTGAACTTGTACTCTTATGTGATGGTACAACTTCAAGTTGTAAAATTGTACCATAACATAATGGTACAAATTCCTTTATGGTACAAACTGAACTTATACATTTAATTTTATGGTACAACTTCAAGTTGTACATTAAAGCACCAATGCTATATAGGATAGGTGTCAAAACAGAGTCCGACCCGACTAACCCGCACGATTAACCCGACCCGCAACCCGAATTGACTAAAAGTCAACAACCCGCAACCCGCCCGACTCACAACCCGATTGACCCGCAACCCGATTAACCCGCAACCCGACTAACCCGCAACCCGATTAACCCAAACCCGATTGACCTGCAACCCGATTAAACCCGCAACCCGATTAACCCTAACCCAATTGACCCAAACCCGATTAACCCGCAACCCGACCGACTCAACCCGAACCCTACATTATTCACCTTAATAATTATTATATTATATAATACATAGTCTTAGAAAATGAAGTTTTTCATTCTAAACCGAGATAAAATAATTTTTCATTTTCTATAGGGAATCGAAAAATATGAAACTCACTTGAAATTATGTATTTTAATAAAATTACAAAAATTGAAACATGAATGTCACATAAACATTAAGTTCTTTAAAAAAAATTAATACAAAACTCAACTCAATTCGAGAAAAAACTCGTTCGAAATTTGGCTCCATTCTTTGTGAATTGGCTCGTGAGCTGGCTCATTTGTTAATGAGCAGAGCACGAGCCAAAGTTTTTTCAACTCGAAGAGGCTCTCGATCTGGCTCGACTCATTGAGCTAACTCATTTGAGTTAGCTCGATCAAAACTCTCGAGATAGCTTGATAGTATGGGACAAAACTTAAGTCAAATCAAGCTCAAGGTCAACTTGATGATGTGGCTAGCAAGCTAACAACATTATATATATGCTCATAAGTCATAACGTAACTCATAAACTAGCCTTTTTGCTAGTCATATAAACTGTACATTAGTTATACTATATATTCAACTCAGTGAGATAACTTAATGTGGTCTGAGACCTTGTGTACGTGGCTAATATTCTTTACATGTATGATTTGTTGTCATATCTTAATCTTTGTATGCTAAACACACATATCACATATATCGCTAATCAAATAGGAATAACTTACTAAAGTATGATGGGCTAGTATTCATTTGAATTAATATTTAACTCGTAATAATATCAATGTTTGATTAAAATCTTGTAGTGTCAAATACTTATACTACCGTTGATGATAACTCGGATGGTGTAGAAACAATATTGAGAGTTTAGAATTTCTGTGTTGGAGTTAGAGCACAAGATTGTGATGCCCGTTGCTTAGGTATGACATGGACTATATATGGTGGAAGATGGTAAAGAGACAGAAGGAATCTTCCATTCTTCATTAGCTAGCCAACTCATGTGCATAATTGACAATTAACCACTTAATTAGCTAATCTACCCCCACGATTATAGGGAGGAAGCCACATGACATGAATGGCAGAGGTCATGTATATATATGGTTATATAATTGGATAGATAACCAAGCAACTAACTCAAATCAAATAGCTAACCCACCTCGTGTGATATAGGAAATATAGGATCTGCAAGCCATAATCATCATTAATTGACAATAACGACCTCCTCCTTCCGACGAGGTTCCTTTGTCTTCCTCACATCTCATCCACAGTAAAGCATCCAAGAATGGCTTGTCCCAGATGAAAGAGTCTGTTGCCGAGCTTCAATCTGCAATTAGCAGAAGGCAAGGAGGATTGGAAGGTGAAACCAGAAGTTACCTCAAGTCTATGAGCATTGCGAGGAAAGAAATCCAAAAGGTCTTGATGGGTATGAACAACAAGAAGTCCACACCATCAGAAAACAATGAGACAATTTCCAGGTTGAAGGAAGCTCAATCTGTTGCTGTTGAGGTTCTAGAGTGTTTGTTCTAGAGTTAATAAACAGTTGTATGTTTGCTGCAGAAAGTATCATGTTTTCTGCTTGGCGTTGGCTACTACAGGGTTTAGTGATTTTTATACCACATCGGTTGTAAACCAAAAATCCCTTCCCAAGATAGCTATAAATTGAGTGAACTTCTTCAGGCTAAGATTGAGGAGTCCATTAAGAAGCTCATTTTGATTTGGGCCTCTACTTATGGAATTCTGCCCAAGTGTAGCTTAGGTTGCATGCCTTTTGGGTTGCTGCCATAGCTATTGATTTTAGTTTGGGTTGGTAAAACTCTACTTGAAGTTGTTTTTCAGTTTAGTTGGGCTCGATGAATGTGGCTTGTTGAGCTTGCTCAAGAGCTCTTACTGAGCCGAGATTTGAAGCTTGCAGTGAGCTCGAGCTGAATTCTAGCTAAGTAATTTTTGTCGAGCCTTAATTGTATAGTATATAGTAGAGCTCGAGCCTTGAGCCTTTATCAATTATGATTAATTACATGACAAGTTTGCAAGTCATACAAATTAATTCAACATTTTGACTATTTTTTTAATTAAATATATAAACGAGGTAGAAAGAAATTGGTTAAAAATGGTGAAAAACACTTTAAATTAGTGTAATAAAATGTGTAAGTTGGTAACGAATAAGTAACTCGATGCGCTGCCCGAACAACCTGCAACCCGATCCGCCCACAACTCGCCCAGCTCGAAACCCGATGAACCCATAACCCGATTTGCCCGCAACCCTATTTATCCGTCACCCGATTGAACCCGAACCCGATCAACCCGGAACCCGACTAACCCGAACCCGATTGAACCCGACCCGATGAACCCGAAACCCGACTAACCCGCAACCCGATTGAACCCAGACCGAACACGCCCGATTGACACCTATATATATAGCATAGTAGAAGGGCTCCCAAAGCTGTCAAATCCATTTAAATCGACACTTCAAAATGAGTGATTTAAAGATCAATGTCCGTTCTCAGTCCAACTAATATGGTTAAAAGATATTATAATTTGGCCCCTACATAATTATTCTCCTACTAAGATGCAACAGGATTTTAACTCACATTTTTATTTAAAAAAAAATTATATACATTTTTTAACAAAATTACATAATTTGATCTATTTTAGAACAAAAATAAACCTTTAAATGAATATTTGTATTATAGTGTTTATAGTAGTAGAAAATATTTTATCATTAGTTTTTTCGTTCTATCTCTCATAATACCCATTTGTTCGAAATTGATCTGCTCCATTTCCACTTTTCGTAAGCAGACTCAGATTTTTTCAGTTGATCGATTGCCCATTGTGATTGTGATTATTTCGAATTACGAATGGTATTCAAAATACCTTGTTTTCAATTATAAAACAAGTCACTCAATGAAAGTAGATCATATTTCCATTCATCATAAGATTATAGGAATATACCGTAGATTCTGATAGTGGTATATGATGATAGAGATATACCATAATGAAAGGATGGTGGTAGACGATGTTAGATAGCGATCGTATGGTAGATGACATAAATGATCTGGAAAAAAATTCTCGAAATATATGTTAAATAAATATCATTTTCTAGACTAAAATCAAACTGTTTCCTTTATGCAATTTATTTTTAAACCCAAATGAAAATTAGGAGGTAGAATGTGATACAAGTTGTCCAAAAATTTCATGAAAAATATATAAAAAATGAATATTAATATTTTTAAGCAAACTAACTACTTTCCATCTTGGTGAAAATCAATTGAGTGGAAATTGCAAAGTATGTTAACATATCACGGTACACATCAGATTCCATCAACATTGTTCTTACTTTCTTATATCCTTTTCGTTTTGGTAGACACTAGAGCCACTAAGGTCTAAGGGCAAGCACGGTCATTAGTGATTACTAGCATAGATTACCATCATTCACTAATTATTTCCATAATAAATTTTTATTATAGAAAACCTTGTATTATTTCATCATGTAGCAGAAATATTACAGGAATCTGTTAAAAGCTGAGCCATCAGAAAAGATGGTGGGCTTGTAGCCCACACTTCTGCTTCTCTCCCATTCACAAGTGCTATGGGCCATTAGGTGAGCTGATTTGTTACTGTTTCGGCCCGAGAAGTCCACTTTGATAGAACCCAGGTCTCTCAGATGGTCATGAAGCTCTTCACAGAGCACTCCTTCCTCGGTCATCACCTTCCCCTCGCTTCTCAATTTATGGACGACACCCAGACAATCCGTCTCAATTTCGCACTGTCCAAAACCATGCTCCACTGCTAGATCAATCCCCCACCTGATTGCCAAACATTCCTCCATTTCCGGGGTCCATTGAACTCGACTTCTCTTCACAGACGCCAAACAAAACTTTCCTTCTCGATCCCTTATCACCATCCGGAACCCAGAACCCTCCCCATCAAAGCATGCAGCATCGACATTGACCTTGAAATCCGTCGAGACAGGGGGGCGCCAAAGGTAATTCTTCTTCTCCTGATCTCCTTCTATCCGCTTCTGATACTCTTGGTATTCCTCCAGCCATCTTTCCGCTTTTGTCATGATTTCACATTCTTCAAGTTTTTTCTTGTTACATAACTGATTGTTTCTTTCTTCCCAGATAAACCAAAGCGCCACGATGAATTTGCTAAGAAGCTCTTCTGAAATCGTAGCCTGCAATTCCGCCATCCATTCCTCACTGGTAAGGTTTTCTCCCTTCTTGAACAAAGAACATAGAGAACTAGGTCGCCAAACTCGACGGACCCACCCACATTCTTGGAAGATATGCTTCTGGGTTTCTCTTAATCCACAGAAAGAACATTCATCACACCCTTTATTAATTCGATCCACTATTTTGGCTCCCGTTGGAATAATATAGTTGATCCATTTCCAGGCAAAAACCTTAACATTTGGTGGGATGTTTAGTTTCCAGATCCGTGCCCAATTGATAGGAGTATAAATCTCCCCCAGAACTTCCTCCTCTCTAGTGGTCTAGAGCTTGTAAGCTGATTTTACAGTATATAGTCCTGACTTCTCTGCTCCCCAAATCCTTCGATCGTCTACCGGTTGTCTAGGTATAGGGATTCGTAGAATCCTTTGTCTATCCTCTGAACTGAAATGTTCTTGAAGTAGAGGAAAATTCCATGCTTGTAAGCTGATTTTACAGTATATAGTCCTGACTTCTCTGCTCCCTAAATCCTTCGATCCTCTGCCGGTTGTCTAGGTATAGGGATTCGTAGAATCCTTTGTCTATCCTCTGAACTGAAATGTTCTTGAAGTAGAGGAAAATTCCATGATGTACTTTCCAAGTCCATCAATTCTCCAACCGAAGTGGTAGGGGCAAATTGAATCATAGGGGATTCCACTTTGTAGTTTGGAGCCGAAGGAACCCATTTATCATGCCTAGGGATGGCAATCAAACCTATGGCCGCGGGTATCCGACCGCCCCCGACCCAGTCAACGCGGGGAATTCCCGCATTGACCGGGTATGTGGCTGGTATGGGTAAAACCCGCAAACAGTTTGATGGGTATGGGGCAGGTATGGTTTTAGCCTCCCCCACCCCATACCCATACCCATACCCGCCCCACCAAGAACATTTCTTCACATATAAAAAGTATATTGATTAAATTGTAATCTATCATTAATACCGAGGGTAACTCATGAAAATAAGTAGTAGAAATACAATTGAGTGACCACCCAAATCAAAACATAATTCATTTCCTCCAAATCTTCCTTCATTCTTTGACTTTTTCCCATGTCAACAACTGTATATTGGTAAGTTATTACTTAATAGATGTACAAAGTCAGAGAATAATGATTTGTCTTATATTGTTACTCTATCTTATGGATTATTGGATGTTTTAGAATAAGATGCTTAGAATCGTATTAAGAATGATTGTCTCTTTGTCGACTTTATGAAATAGTAGGTGCAGTAAGTATTAGAATTGAAATTTTTGTATGTAAAATTTTAGCTATTATAATGTTGATGTACGGGGTGGGTATTACTCATGGGTACCCGAAACTCACGGGTATGGGGATGGGTTTGCAAATCCTCCCCCGCATGGGTATGGGGTGGGTATGGGTTTGGATATTTGAAAGCGGGGATGGGGATGGTTTACGCAAACCCGCCCCATTGCCATCCCTAATCATGCCATATATCGATTTTGTGGCCATTTCCAAGTCTCCATCTCAACCCATGTTTGACCATTTCTTTAGCCTCTAGAATGCTCCTCCAGATGTAGCTGGGATTGTATCCTACTTCCGCTTCCATAATATCTCTGTTTGGGTGGTACTTAGCTTTTAAAATCCTTGCCACAAATGAAGAGGGGTTTTGAATGATATTCCAGAGCTGTTTACCTAAGAGTGCAAGGTTGAAATCATGTAGATTTTTGAAACCTAGGCCTCCTTTGGACTTTGGCAGACATAGATTCTTCCAGCTTATCCAATGCGTTCTGCCCTCCTCTCCCTGTTGTCCCCACCAAAAATTAGAGATCAGACTCTGAATTTCCTTTGTAACTACCACTGGAACCAAGAAAACTTGCATTACATAATTCATTTGTGCTTGAGCCACCGCCTTAATCAACACTTCTTTACCTCCATAAGATAACAACTTGCTTTTCCACAACTTAACCTTCCTTCGAACTCTATCCACTAAGTAGCTAAAAATTGATTTCTTTTGTCTTCCAATCACAGTGGGAAGTCCTAAATATTTAGGATGAAAGTCGACCACCCTCATACCCATTATATCCCCCAGCTTCTGTCTCTTATCGGCCTTAACATTAGGAGAGAAAGAAATCTCAGATTTCTCCAAGTTTATCTTCTGTCCACTTTCTGTTTCATATAGGTTCAGGATCATCCTTAAATTTCCACATTCCTCTTCAGTGGCATTTGAGAAAAGAACACTATCATCTGCAAAAAGCAGATGACTGATAGAGGGAGCCCCTCTTTTCACTCGAATTCCTTCTATCTTCTTTTCCCTTTCTGCTTGAGTCAAGAGTGCAGAAAGACCTTCTGCAATGAACAAGAACAAATATGTCGAAATAGGATCTCCTTGCCTTAATCCACGAGTAGGAAAGAAAGTTGTGGTCTGGTGTCCATTTACTAGGATCGAATATGAGACTGTAGAGACACAATGCATAATCATCGCAACCCATTTTTCATGAAAACCTATTCTCTTCATCACTGCTTCTAAAAAACTCCACTCAACTCTGTCATAAGTTTTGGAAATATCCAGTTTTGCAGACATAAAACCCTTATTTCCTTGTGTTCTACCCTTCATTGAATGAAAACATTCAAAAGCCACCATAACATTGTTTGTGATTTGACGATCAGGCACAAAAGCACTCTGAAACTCTGTTATTACTTCAATTAGGATGCCCTTCAGTCTAATTGCCAAAACTTTAGAAAGAATCTTGTATAGTACCTTACAAAGACTGATGGGACGAAAATCTGCTGGTGACTCCACTACTTTCTTCTTAGGAATAAGTGCAATTAATGTGTGGTTGAGAGTTTCTGGGAATACACCCTCAGTCAGGTACTGTTGGAGTTCCCTAGTCACATATGCTCCCACTATATCCCAGTTCTTCTGAAAAAACAAAGTTGTCATACCATCAGTTCCTGGGGCTTTGTTTGGTCCCATTTTCTTTAAAGCTGTCCAGATCTCCTCTTGTGTAAATGGTTTCAGAAGATCATCATTCATTTCCTGAGTCACTTTCCTTGGTATTGCTCTCAAAATGGCTTCTGAAGGCACCATATTCCCTGCACAAAAGAGCAAACTAAAATAGTTAGTTAGACATCCCTCTACCTCCTCCTGTCCTTCCTTCACCTCTCCACCCTCCTCAACTAGTTTTCGTATAGTATTTCTATTCCTTATGTCAGAGGCCTTTCTATAGAAATAATTCGTGTTCTTATCGCCTCCTTTCAACCTATCCACCCTCGACCTCTGTCGCCACATAAGTTCCTCCTGGATCAAGATTTCACTCAACTCTTTCTCCAAAGCTTTCCTTTGAATCACTACCGAAGCTGTGGATAGACTTTTCCATAATACTTGCACGGTAAATATCGCGAATTAACCACACAGTAATTAACACAAGAACCCAGGGGAGGTAAAATGAGGAGATAACCGAAACGACAGACCACATACAGCCAACGACAAAAGCGTTGACTTGGTTAGCAAATGAACACGTTTATTTTTCTTTACTGCGCATGTCTGTCAATCGTTAATTATTTTTATCAAGAGAGCTGACCACAGTCAGCGATCACAACGGGCTTAGTGGTGTGGTCCGGCCCGACTACGACCCGACCTGCTCGATCGCCTTGACGGCTTGACCACATCCATCACTTCAACCACGTGCTTCCCGTCCAGCCACTCCGTCCTGTCCGTACATATGAAGAACTGCGGCCCGTTCGTCCACGGCCCCGCGTTCTCCATCGACAGGATCCCCGGCCCCGTGTGCTTCTTGATAAAGTTCTCGTCGGCGAACTTCGCCCCGTAGATCGACTCCCCCCGGCGGTGAAATCGCCGCCCTGGCACATGAACCCCAGGATCACCCGGTGGAATTTCGACCCCTTGAAGTGGAGCGGCTTACCGCACGACCTTCTTACCCCCTTCTCGCCCGTGCACAGCGTCTGGAAGTTCTCCGCCGTCCGCGGCGTCGTGTCCGCGAAGAGCTCCATCACGATCCAGCGCGCCGAGGCGTTGCCGACGGTCATGTCGAAGTAGACCTTGGGGTTGTTAGCCATCGTTGGATTGTGAAAGAGAAGGATTCGAAAATGGGAATTTAGGGGGTTTTTCTTCTGAGTTGGATTGATTGATCTTCTGCGCTCGCATATACATAGTTGCGTGAGAATAATCTTTCGGTGAGTGGATTGTGGGACTAAGATCAGGTGACTGATGCTAAGGGTGAGTCCCTTAGTCACATGGCTAAGTGAATCTCAGCCCTTCAACATCATTGAAATTCAAGGGCTCCGATTATTTTTTTAATTTTCAATTATAAAATGAATTATAAAAATTTGCCAGCGTCTCGTCTCCTTCCCATACGCCGGCCACAGTGCGATCAGTCCCACGCAAGTTTTTTCGGCCGTTTGCCTTTTCTGGGAACTTTTGCAGTGGCCATTCCCATTTTCCTTTTCATGGAGAGAGAGGGAGAGAGGGAGAGAGAGTCGACTTCCGACGGTGAGAATTTTTTGGTGCCGGCGGTGAAGTTTTTTCAACAATGGGGATTTTCCGACGACAATGACAGTTTTCTGATGTTTGTCCGACTATTTTATAATGTTTGTATCGATTTTGTTTGTATATTTTATCATTCTAGTTTGTAATGTTTATGACTAATTTGTATATTATTGAAATTTGTAATGTTTGTTTGTTTAGTTTGTATACTTTGTGTTCATTGATTTGTAATAAAAGTTTATTGATTACTAAATTGTGTCATTGTTAGTCCTAGAAAAAGTTAATATCAAATTTGGTTATTCTAATTACTAAAATAGGTCATATTTAGTCACTCTCCGTTAGTCTCCGTCCAACTCCGTTATATGCTGACGTGGATAACGTGAGCGCCCAATCAACGTCATTTTAACCAAAAAATGGTCAACTCGACCCGCCACGTCATTAAACTCGCTATGTAACCCAAATCAGAGACGAAAATCCCTAACATAAAGAAGAAAATCCGGTCGCCGCTACTATTCAATCCCCTCCGTCTGCGATTCCAATCTCCTCAATTCTTCCTCCACAAAATCTTCAGGCGGAGATATTCAAGCCCCACCGCCGCTACTCCTCCAACGCATCCGGGTCCCACAAATCCAATAATAAAACCCCCATATGGTCCTCAAACCCTGCCCAATTCTTACTCCCGAAATTCACAGATCAGTGGTAAACCCTAGATCGGTCCACGAAATCAAGCGCATTTCCAGCCTCAAGGTTATGTGGCGGAAGGACCCGAAGCTCGATGAAGCCATAGAGAGAGACAAGAGATACAAACTATACGCGCGTGTCGTCAGAGATGTGTTGAACGAACCCGGCTAAGCTATCCCGCTATCCTACCTGGAGAGAAGTCGCGAGAGGTTGCACCACCTTATGGACAAGATGGAAACTTGATAGAAACCCAATTCTTGGGATTTATCATAATAATTATTATTACTATAACTAGGATATTATTAGATATGGTAAAAGTCATTGAGTCACATTAGGATAGTCTATTAGGTTTTTCTAGTCTTTCGCTATAAATATGTAATTGGTCCTTCATTCATGGGAAGTCAAGAAAAGAATAACAGAAATCCCTAATTCTCTCTTTCTCTGGTTCTTCCCCAATCTTCTCAAACCCCTAATCTTCTTCTCTTCAATCCCTAATTCCCTTCTAAATTCCCTTTCTACTCAACAAGCATCTATCATTTGGTATCAGAGCCTTCATGAGTCCTTCGAAACACACTGATCCAGCATGGGCTCGTACCAAGCAGCTGATAGAGTTCACGTTATCTGAACTCAAGCGTGAGGCCCAGGAACGCGGGTGGACAGCAGCAACAGCGGAATAGGCGGTCGATCCGTCCGCGGTGGTCCCTGTACCGTCGGGCCAGACGCGGCGCGCGAGAGGGACGGCGCCCGCGCTGGCGGCAGGAGCGGGCGATGGGCCCGCGGGGGAGGAGGCTGGCGCTAGCGGCCGCGCCGGGGTGGCTGCGGGGTCGACGGAGATCGGTGCTGGCGGCGGGGCCGCGGAAGGCGAGGCGCAGCGGCCAACGACGGCGGGCGACCGCGGGGTCGTGGCTGCAGTGATGGCACGACAAGAGAAGGCGCAACAGCTCGTGGCGGCGGACCGGCTGCGTGAGGCACAGAGCGCGGCGGTGAAGGGCGCCGTGGTCGCGGGCTCGGCGAAGGAAGGGGGGTGCGACGGGTTGTCCGGGTCTGCGCTGATCGATGAGGAGAAGGCGGCCGCGGGCGCCGACGCGGGGGAGCTTTCGGCGACGGAGGCGGCAGACGTGGTGGCAGCGACGCGGGCGCGTCGCACGGAGCAGGCGGCCAAGGCTGACAAGACGGCGCGGTACGCAGGTGGCGGGGAGCTTTGTGCGTCGCCAAAGATGGAGGCGTCACGGGAGGAGGGAGCAAGGAGGGTCGAGGCAGCGAAGGGCTTCCGAGTTGCATCGCCGGAGAAGAGGGTGGGCGTGACGAAGCTGGGATCGTCACCGATCCGCCGGCAGGGTCGTCCGCGACAGGAGGAAGGGGCGAAGGAGATGGGGGAGGGCGGCTGGTCTTCTCTGGGCAAACCCTCGCAGCGGCCAAAGCAGCATGGATGGGCCGGGTTGGGCCAGCTGAACCAACCGATTTGGGCTGGAAGTTTAGGGAATTGGGCTCCGTTTGGGCCACGTTTCGGGCCGCAGCTGAGAGAGAAGAAGATCGAGCAGAAGCTGGAGACTGGGCCGCCTCTGCAAGTCTCAAGTGGGCTTCAACATGGTTATTTATTGGAATCTCTTTATTATGATATGAGCTTGAAAGAAAAAGAAAAAGAATTGGTGGGCTTAGATGATGGGCTCAAGGGAGAACAACTCTCACATTCTTACTTTGTAGAGTTTGAAAAGGAGGGTGGAGGGTCATTTGCTCGTGGTTGCGTCATGAGCCACGTGGTTAGAGAAGAAGTAACGAGAGTCGTAGTTGCTGGAGTGGGATTCGTTCGAGTAATGAAGCATGATTGGAAGAAAAGAAAGCGCAAGGAGTGGAGGATACAAAGCGCGGGATGCACGGGTGATGTGAAGAAATGGGTCGAGTCGGTCAACCATGAGGACAAGGTTGGTCTGAAGGGGGAGGGGATGATAGAAACCCAATTCTTGGGATTTATCATAATAATTATTATTACTATAATTAGGATATTGTTAGATATGATAAAAGTCATTGAGTCACATTAGGATAGTCTATTAGGTTTTTCTAGTCTTTCGCTATAAATATGTAATTGGTCCTTCATTCATGGGAAGTCAAGAAAAGAATAACAGAAATCCCTAATTCTCTCTTTCTCTGGTTCTTCCCCAATCTTCTCAAATCCCTAATCTTCTTCTCTTCAATCCCTAATTCCCTTCTAAATTCCCTTTCTACTCAACAAGCATCTATCAAAACTTTTCTCCGCCGGAACCCACTGTTGTTTGATTCTTACTACAATTAAATCAAAGCCAAATCTGAGCCGGTTCAGTTCACTCGCCCTAGCCATCGGTCGAGGATTTTTATGGAAGAGGATACAGATTGACAACAAGGAGTTGCTCGTAGCCAACCTGTGCAAGTTGTTTTTGATGGCCAAGGACAAGGTAATTAACGCAGATAAATTGGTTCATGTGAAGAGGGAATTCGGTTTTCCTAATTAATGATTTCATGGTTAGTTTGGTGCACAAGTATCCTAACTATTTTCGGTTGGTTGGGTATCCCGGGGAAGGGCAATCGTTTCTAGAATTAGTGGATTGGAACCCGGATGCGGCAGAGGGGTTTCAGTAGCAGCGGCGGCCGGATTGTCGTCTCTGGTTGGGATTTTCGTCTGTCTCTGAGTTGGGTTTTGTATGAGAAATGGGTTAGGTTATGGTTTTAATGATGTGGTGGGTTCAGTGAGGTGGCAGATTGGGTTTGGTGATGTGGCGGGTTAAAATTGAGTGAGTCAACACTAATGTTAGTCACATCAGCAATTGACTGACGGTGTTAACAGAGAGTGACTAAACGTGAACCATTTTACTAATTTGAGTGACCAAAATTGATATTAATTTTTTTCAATGATCAAACATGCATGACACATTTTAATAAACCCAGTGACCAATCTTGGCATTTACCCTATTGATTTGTATTGTAAGTAGTGACATTTTGTACTGTTAGTATGTTTTGTAATGTTTATCGATTTGTTTTGTAATGTTTGTAAGTTTTTGTTGGTCTACTTTGTATTGTTTGTATTTCGTACGTTTTGCATTGTTTGTAAATCTGTTTGTATGTTTTGTCGTTCTAGTTTGTACTGTTTGTAAGTCCGGTTTGTACACTTCGTAATTTTTCTTAATACTCAGACTACTCCTGTCATTAATTAAAAAGCCCTTCCCATTTTTTAACCGTCAGATTGGTGTGTCCAGATCTAAGGGACTAAGCACCCCCTTAGTCATGAGATCCGACCCGTGAATTGTGGCCCCGATTGTGGACACGTCACACGTGTACGGGTAGTGAGGGGGACATTTAATTGGGAGCAAGTAGAGGTGGAAATCGGTACGATATTGGGAACCAAATACCAAAATCCCGAATACCGAATTATACCTGAAAGTCAATCCCAATCCCAATCCCTAAATAATTTCGATATCCCAATCCCTAAATATTCTGGTATCCCAATCGGTACTTCGGTATCCCAATCGATATTATCGAATATGAAATAAATTACATTTGAAATAAATAATTAAATTAGATTTGATTGTTTAATTTAGGGCAGATGACTAAGCAAAGAGTCTTGAGTTTGCCTAGAGCTAGGATACGGATAAGGAGAATGAATGAGAGGTGACATCTCAAGTTCTTGTCATTGGTAATCTTTAATTTGACGAATTGAAGGCTGAGAAACGACTAATACTAGTGTTTGCTTTTTGGTGTATGAAAATAACAAGTTATTAGGTGGGAGATGAGAGTGACTTAAATTGGAAAGTCAAAATTGGGTTGGATGAGAACTTTTGAATCGTGAAACAAAGGTGAAATGATCTATGTATAGTTAAATGACACTATTGGTGGTTGAGGGTCATATAGTAGTGAATGAGAG